CCGAACTACCCAACCTATCTTCTACCCAAGCTCCATTTAGTTTTACAAACTCTCATGGACTGGCTGTTACTCTACCGCAACAACTCCAGCAGGCCAGCGACCAAGCTAAGAATAAGGTTGTTTACCGGATGAATATCTTCTTCGGCTTCGACTCCAAGAATCCTTCTTCTCGTCTTCAATCCTCCATGGATGAGCTCTCTCAACACTCTAACAGGTGGAGAGAATACTTCTCTAAGTTCTGGTTGCTCACCCACGAATACAAACAAACATCCATATCAAATATATACACATTACACAAAAGACAAAAGTTGACTGTGACAACTTTTGGGGCAGTGTGTTCTAGGTCATTTAATGCCATCCAGTATGAGAGGACAATACATGCAGCTTCTCCTGCACGTCCTCTGTCCAATGCATATTCATTTGTCCTATTCCATTGAGTGTAGAACACACAAGATGCATCCAAAAGCTGTAACTCGGTCAACTCTGCAGTTGGCAGGTTTCCCGAAATAGTGTCAAACAGAACCTGCAACAACATCCTGCAACTTGCTCATATGCCAAAAGTAGAAACAAAAGGGTTTGGCAATTTTGAATATGCCAACACGAACATCCACCCCGATATGTATATATAAGCTTACCAGCGCTTGACGTGACACATAAATATTTTGGTTGAATGCAACAGAAGAATTGAGTTGAACTTTGTATAGAATATTACTCGTCATCGACATGAGGAAAAAATCCACCCAAATTAGACTTTGATGGAGAATTTCTTTCATAAAACCAATGTCTAATGCTTAAAATGATTTAGATTTTTTGTTGAAAAAATTATTTATTTTTGGCAAAATTGTTCATAACTTACATATGATTTCGAAATTCAGCATAAATTCTCTTTATACTTTAAAAATTTCATAACATTCCTTTATACTATTGCATGAAAGCCCTTTGGTATACAAAATAAATATATATAAATAGAAAATTATATTCTCACACACAAAAAATTGTAAAAAGTCAGCTTCATGCAATGTTTTTAAGGTAGAAGGGGCGTCGTACAATTTTTAAAGTACAGGGGGATTAACGCTAAGTTTCGAAACCATATGAAAGTTATGGACAATTTCATATCTACAGTAATGTAAACAAAATATATAGAACAAAGAAAGTAATTAATTATTTTAAGTTTTTATTTTTATCAAAATATTGAATATATATAATAATAAAATTTATTAAAATATTATATTTTAGATTTTGGATTGGTTCAAATTTTTAGTATACCGATCCGAATAAATTCGAAATCCAAAAAATTCGAACCAAATTTTAAATTCAACGTAATTTGAATTGAACTTTTGATTTTCCGATATTGTGCTCACCTCTTAAATTTAATTAATCCAAATAGTGCATAGTGTGGCCATGATAGGACTATAAACAAAATCATGGCTTGGTTACAAGTTGAGACAGTATTTGGTAGTTTAATTTTGTGGTTGAGTAATAACACTTAGCTTGATTGTAAGTTGGAATGTGACTTTTATGTATATTTATTTAAAAATAAATTAAAAAAATATTTTAATAATATATGTTCGATAAAAATATTATTTTATAAATAAATAAAATTTTATATAGTATAATTAATATCAATTATTTCATCTTTCTCAATTTAAAGTACTCTTTTTTTTGTTTGTTTTTTTTTTCTATCACATTCAAAAATTTCTTTTTCATATTTTAACAAAAATAATTATACATTAATAGTAAAATATATTTAATTTTTATATAAATTATAAATATATTATTACAAATATAATTAATTTTATATAAAGTCGAAGGACAAAAATGTCAAAACCTCTTATATATTTTTACTCACCAATAAAATACTACTCGTTCCGTCCCATTTAATTTGTTCATTTTTTCTTTTTTCGTCTCTTCCACATAATTATTCCACATAATTTGTTTTTTTCTTTTAAAAGAAATATAATTGTACACTTTAACCACATTTTTAAATTTATAATTTATTTATTTTTTATATTAATCAAACTATTTAGTCAATCTTAATCTATAGTTATTTTTATTAAATTATAATTATTTTTACTAATACACTTTTTAACTATTTAATAATTATACAACCTAAAACTCTTTGTTGGACAAATTAAGTGGGACCGAAGGTATATTATTTTTTTTAATTTATTACAAAATTCTAAAAGAATATTTAGAATGCAAAGAGGAAGTATTATACTCCCTCCGTCCACACACAATGTTTACATATTTCTATTTTGGGACGTTCAATTACAAAGTTAACATTTCATTAAATACCCTATTTTTTTCAACAAATACTCTTACTTTACATCACATCATTACTTTTACACAAAAAAACAAAGGCAAAAATGTCATCACACTACTTTTAATTATTCACTATAATTAAAATAATATTATTTTTTAAACACCGTGTCAAAGTAAATGTAAACATTGTAAATGGACGAAATGAGTATAAAAAAATAACAGATATATATGTGGGCCACTTAATGTTTTTGGTGAAAAACTTAAATAAAAAATTTGGATGTATAACATCAGTAGAACGTATACCCAGTAGCAATAGACTCTTCCAAAGCCAAAATTCCTTGATGACAAGTAAAGCAAGATAAAATCGAATAAAGAATTAGCAAATGAATTATTACTTGTCGACAGGACCAAAAACATAAGCACACGCAAATATATGAGAATGAATCTCCTTTAAACAAAGAATTATTATAAAATTAGCAAATGCACTATTAGTTGTCGAAAAACCTATCATTTTTAAAATGTTACGCATTTATTTTCTAAAAAAAATAAAAAATTAATGTTTATTCACTTTATATTTTTTTGGATAAATGTATTTTTTTATATCAATTTATAAAAAGTTTAAGTTTTATTATATATTTTATAATACTCTCATTCGTCCCATATATCGTATCTGCTAAACCGTAGTCTACAGTATTGTATTTTAGGAGGGGTGCAATTAGTAGATAATTAAAAATATATTAATGAAAATAATTATCCTATCATATAAATAATTATAAATTAAGATTAAGATAACTAATTAATTTAATTAAAATTAAAAAAATAAATAAATTAAAAAGTTTAAAATGAGATTAATTATTTTTTAAAAAAGAAAAGTGACATGGAATGTGGGACGGAAACGACAACATGGACATAGTATATGGGACGAACGAAGTAATATTTATGAAAGAATCGTTCCGATTAAAAATACTGTATAATTAATTATTAGGGTTTGTTTCTCTTTGCATTTGACTTATGGTGTGTTTATTCGTAATTTTTTTTCTATTTTTTATTATGAAATTATTATTATTCTCTTAGAAGGCTTTTTTTTTTTTCAAATTGAGAGTACTATTTTTAATTTTCGTCTATCTCATTAAAAAAATATTTATTTTTATTATAATAAAAGTAAATACACTAATATAAAAAATATTTTTAATTTTATGTAAATAACAAACATACTATTACATATACAATTAATTTAACTATATGAAAAAAATGTCAATATTATATTATATACTTTAACTAATAAAATATTACGGAGTATTATTTTTTAATTTATTATAAAATTTCAAATAACTAATTTGAATTGAAACATACAGAGTATCTTTATTTGTCCAATAATTTTTATCCGACATAATTCTTAATATATAATATATATTGTTATCCTAACAGAAAAAAAAATTTAATATTTAATATAAAATATCATTTTTTATATTAGCAAACATAATTTTTTATATATTACATAAAAAATACTAAAAACAAAATACTAAACAAACAATTTTATTAGTTTAATGATTACACAGTCAATGAAAGGATTACATAGTTAATGAAATACATGCATGATAAAAGAGAATAGGGTAAATTATAATACCTTTGTATTTTAATAAAAATTGCAAAATATACTTCGTATTTTATTTATTGCGTGGAATTCCCTTATATAAATATAAAGTTTGTACAAAACACTCTCTTTGTCAAAAACTAATATTTGATTTTAAATAAAGATTTAACTTATGCAAATTTAATTAAAAAAAAAAAAACTACATATCTTAAATAATTTTTTTTGAATAAAATAAATAAATAAATAATTGATAAATAAATAAATAATTGATTAATCCTTATTTTATAGTTTTTGGAAACAAATTGTTATTTGATTTTTATAAAAACTATAAAAATAAATGATTGATCAATTATTTATTTATTTATATCATTCAAAAAAAAATATTTATGATATTTTACGTAATCAAATATTAATTTTGGACAAGAGGGTGTTTCGTGCAAACTTTACATTAACACAAGGGGGTTTCAAACAATAAATAAAACACGAATATTTTGTGCATTTTTACTAAAAACACAAGTACTATATAATTTATCTGAGAAAATTAATCTCCAATCAAGTGTTTTGTGCATTTTTTTTGTTGGGTCATTCCCTTCGGGGTATATGTGCGAGATTCTTGAGAGAATCAAGCGGAGATTATTAATTTTAATCTTGGAAGCAGCTTGAAGAAAATGGAAAATACAACTACTGTGTATCTTACAGTTGATTAACCGAGGAAGAAGACGATATATACAAAGAATCTACCTCTAACAAACTCTGACAACCTAATGGGCTTGCCCAAGAAAAATAAACCTAAACCAACCAAATAAAATACAACAACAAAAGAAATAGGCCCATTATAACATAACTCAATTTATCACCATCGTCTTCAATCTTCTTAATTCTCTGCTTCTCTTCTCTTTCCATAACTTGACATCCTCCCCTCGAACCGAGCGTGTCCATGCACAGCTTGGTACAAAGGTTTTTGAATAATGGTCCAAGTAGAGCTTTTGTAAAGATATTAGCAATTTGTAGCTTGCTTCGTACATGCACCAATGTAATAAAATCTCTAAGAAGATGGCATCGAACCAAGTGGTATGCTATTTCAATATGTTTGGTTCTCTCATAAAATACATGATTTTTTGCAACGTGAAGAGCTGATTGGTTGTCACAATGTTGAGGAATTGGCAATGAAATAGTCACCTTTAAGGCACTGAGGATGTACGAGATCCAAAGGAGCTCACATGTTGTTACACATGCTTCTATACTCATCTTTAGTTGAGGAGATACTTACAGTAGGCTGCTTTTTTGCTTTCCAAGAGATGAGACTGGATCCAATAAATATGCAGTACCCAGTTATAGACTTTCGAGAGTCCAGGCAAGTGCCCCAATCTGCATCACAATAAGCTTCTAGCTGAAGTGAGGAATCTGCATCAAACACAAGACCATGATTCATTGTTCCTCTAAGATATCGAAGTAGATGGAGAGCAGCTTTCCAGTGTGATGATGTAGGTCTGTCTATGAATTGGCTCAACTGTTGGGCTACAAATGCAACATCAAGTCTGGAAAAATTCAAATAAAGTAGTCTTCCTATAAGCCTTCCTGTACTGAGAAGGCTCTTTGAGTTCATCACCATCTTCCAATGATAGCGTCAATCCAGCTGGCAGAGGAGTGGAAACTGAGATAAGGCTAAACCATTCTTTCGATGTTTGAATTCTATGCCAAGAAAGAAGCTTGCCTCTCCCAAGTCCTTAATTGTAAAGGCCTCATGTAAAAATATTTTTTCTTTGTGAATGAGATTAGGAGATGAGCCTGTCAACAGTGTGTCATCCACATATGTTATTGAAATCAGTAGGTCAGTCCCAACATGCTTAATGAATAAACAATGATCATGAGTGGATTGCTCATATCCAAACTGGAGTACTTTCTCAATAAGTGTTGTATACCATACACGAGGAGCCTGTTTGAGCCCATAGAGAGATTTTCTCAGCTTGCAGACCTGCCCTGGTTTGGTGTGGTAGCCGAGTGGAGGTTTAAGATACAATTCTTCGTCCAATGTACCATGAAGAAATGCATTGTTGACATCCACTTGTTGAACAATCCATCCTTTTGAGATAGCTATGGCAAGCACAAGCCTTACAGTGACACTTTTAGTCACTGGTGCACAGCAATCATCATAATCAATTCCATGCACTTGCAAGTAACCTTTTGCCACCAATCTTGCTTTGTATCTATTTATAGAGCCATCCTTATTTCTTTTAATTCTGAATACCCATTTGCTCCCTATTGCTTTCATGCCTTCAGGAAGGTAGGTTAATTCCCAAGTCCCATTAGCCTCTAATGCCTTTATTTCTTCATCCATAGCTTCAATCCATTCTTGTTTCTTAGTTGCCTCTAAGTAAGTGAGGGGCTCTTCTGTTGCATTTCCAAGTGTGTCATGAGCACACACATAATCTTTTTTCCAACATGGCTTTCTTGTGATTCTTGGTTGTCTCCCTTCCATCTCAAGGATAGCAAGTACATTGTCTTCAGTCGCTGTTGTAGGAGATCCAGAAGTGACATGAGAGTGAGGATTCATGACCAGCAACATCTTTGGATGAGAGTGAGGGTTCAGGGGGAGTAGCAGACTCTGAGATGACCTCATACCTCACTTTCTCAATAGTTGGATCAGTAGTAGAATTTGCAGGACTTGAAAAGTTTATTTTTCTTACTTGATCATCTTCAAATAACCTCACTGGGCTAGAAAGGACATCAGTCTGTTGTGCATAAGAGTGCGATGATAATTGATGTATGAAACCTGAAAATATATGCTCATAGAAGACAACATCCCTTGTAATTAGTATTTTGTTTGAATCAAGATCAAATACCCTATATCCTTTTGTGCCCCGTTTATATCCTACAGAGATGCCCTTAACAGCTCTTTTGTCAAGTTTTGTCTTTGAAGGATCATTGTTTGATGCATAACATAAGCATCCAAACACTCTTAAATGTTCCAAGTTAGCAGTGAATCCGTGGAGTACCTCATAAGGAGATTTCCAGTTAATGACAGGAGTAGGAAGCAAATTTATAATTTAAGTTGCTACAAGAAGAGCTTCTCCCCAAAATATAGCATAAAGTCATGAGTGAAATAGTAGAGACCTCATTACTGTCAAGATGTGTTGATGTTTTCTCTCAACTCTTCCATTTTGTTGCGGCCAATAAGGACAAGACCTCTGATGTAGAATTCCATTTTCCTTCATCAAATTCTTGAAGTTATGGCTCAAAAAATCTGCTCCATTATCCGTCCTTATGGTTTTGATCTTGGTTTTGTATTGAGTCTGAACAAGTTTAATGAAGACTGAAAGTATGATTGGAGCCTGTGATTTCAGTTTCATCAAATAAGTCCAAGTGTTTCTGCTATGGTCATCCACAATTGTTAAGAAGTATCTACTACCATTCAAAGATGCCTGACTATAAGGACCCCATATGTCAATATGAATCAACTCAAAACAAGAGTCAGCATAAAAAGTACTTTTATTGAATGGGAGTTTTTTTTTTGCTTTTCATAATGACAAGCATCACAAGGTGCATTAGGAGAAATGTCGGAAACTAATGACCGTCTCACCTAAAAGCTCGAACTTGTTAGAGAAACTAAGCCATTAGTTATATATCCCGCAAACGGGAGTCCCCAACACGCCCCCTCAGGTGCAAGTGGGTCTGCGAAACTTGCACATGCATATGCCACAAATGGGGACGGGCGGGACTCGAACTCGAGACCTAACCTAGGCTCTGATACCAGATATTAGAGCAAAGAAGGAAGAAAAGAATCAATATGCACGAGAAAGCTTCGACAGTTTATTCAGTAATCGAGTTGGGCGTTAAATAGCCACTACAAAAGAAATAGCAGTTTCGAAAAAGTCTCAACAGACTCAACAAGAAGACCTATTCTACCGGTCACTTATTATGCAGAAAAATAAATAAAAGATCCACCCATAAATCTCGTTGACCCTTCAATCCCTCCTTTAAACTGAATGCGGCAGCAAGTAGTTTATCTTTGTTGCTTCAATCATTCCAAGCATTTTCTTCAACTTCACGAATTGCTCTACCTTTATCGGCTTCGTCAGAATGTCTGCAACCTGTTCTTGTGTTTTGCAATACTTGAGTAGCACTGATCCCTTATCCACTAGCTCTCTTAGAAAATGGAACTTCACATCTATATGTTTGCTTCTTCCATGAAAAGCAGAGTGCTTAGATAATTGAATAGTCGAAGTATTATCACAATTGATCACAGTACCTCTTCTTCCATTTTCACCAAGTTCTTCAAGCAAGTTTTGAAGCCATATGCATTGACTTGCACAGTATGCAGCTGATATGTATTCGGCTTCTGTGGAGGACAATGATACTACAGGTTGTTTCCTTGAAGACCATGATACATCTCCTTTTCCAAGCAAGAAAACATAACCGGATGTACTTTTCCTATCATTAAGATCTCCAGCAAAATCACTATCCGAATATGCGTCCAATTTACCTTTTCTTTCATTGCAGTAGAAAATTCCAAGCTGAGTAGTTCCTCTGATGTATCTCAATATCCTTTTTGCTGCACTCCAATGAGTTTCTGTTGGAGAGTACATGAATCTACTGATGAGACTAACCCCATATGTTATGTCTGGCCGAGTAGCGGTTAGGTACATGAGACACCCGACAACTTGTTTGAACATTGTTGGGTCAACTTTTGGACCTTCCTCATCCTTCAAAAGTCTTGTTCCCGGCACTATGGGGTTTGCTACCACATTACTGTTTTCCATTCCAAAACGAATCAGCACCTCCTCTGCATATTTGCGCTGACAAATGAAGATTCCCTGATCATTTTGTATAACTTCGATTCCAAGAAAGTACTTCATTCTTCCCAAATCAGACATGTCAAACTCACCCATCATTGAACGTTTAAAATCTTCGAGCGTAGCTGGATCATTCCCTGTGTAGATTAAGTCATCAACATAAAGACTTACTATTAAACGTTCACCTCCCTCCTTCACTTTAATAAACAAAGTGTGTTCATTTGTGCATTTCTTGAATCCTTCACGAGCAAAGTAGGCTTCAATTCGACTGTACCAAGCCCTCGGCGCCTGCTTAAGACCATACAACGCCTTGTGTAGTCGATAGACTTTCTCTTCTTCTCCTTGCTTCTCGAATCCCATTGGCTGCTGCACATACACTTCTTCCTTGATATCTCCCTGAAGGAATGCACTTTTGACATCAAATTGAAGTACTTCCCACTTGTTCTTTGCCGCTATAGCTAGAATAAGCCTGACGGTATCCAAACGAGCTACTGGGGCAAAAACTTCTGTGTAATCAATTCCATATTGTTGCGCATACCCCTTAGCCACTAATCTTGCTTTGTGTTTCTCTATTTCTCCTTTTTCATTTAACTTTGTTTTGAACACCCACTTCACTCCTATAGCTTTGGTCTCCTTTGGTAGTGTGCACAACGTCCAAGTGCCATTCTTTTCAATAGATTTCATTTCCTTTGCCATTGCTTCTTTCCACTTCTTATTTTTCACAGCTTCTTGAAAGGTTACAGGGTCATCTTCTATCATCATCATGACTGTTTCGTCCTCAGATAGTTCTCCCCCAGAAACATAATCCACCATCCATGTGGGAGTTGTGCGTGGCCTTCTTTCCGGGGCACTCGGAGTAGTGCATTCCTCCTCTTCTCCTGAACCTGTTTCTTCTAATGAGCTTGCTGATTTTTCTGCTGGTGTTGTGCCAGAATCACTTTCTCCTTCCGATGAGACGTCAACTGGCCTTTTCTCATCATCTGCGTCACCATTATCTCCACATGTAATTGCATTTGGGATCACCTCAGCAGTACCCTTTTTCCAGTTCCAGCCATTGTTTTCTTCAAAAACAACATCTCTGCTGATACATATTTTGTTTGTTGTCGGATCAAAGAGCCTGTATGCTTTAGACTCCTTGCTAACACCAATGAATATGTGAGGTCTGCTTCTGTTATCCAATTTTCTTCGTTTTTGATTTGGAACGTGTACATGTGCTAGGCAACCAAATACCCGAAAATAATCAACTTTTGGTTTATTGCCACTCCAAGCTTCTTGAGGCGTCATATTTTCTACAGCTGACGTTGGGCATCTATTGAGAATGTGAGTGCACCAATTCACGGCTTCTGCCCAAAACTCTTTTGGCATTTGTTTTTCATCCAACATAGTTCGAACCATATTCATTACAGTCCGATTCTTCCGCTCGGCGACACCGTTTTGTTGAGGTGTGTAAGCTGCAGTTAGTTGCCTGTTGATTCCTTGGTCTTTACAAAATTTGGCAAACTCATTTGAGTTGAATTCACCTCCTCTATCTGTTCTAAGACAGAGTATGCTTGTTCCGGCTTCTTTTTCAACACGTACTTTGAAACTCATAAAGACATCAAGAGCTTCCGATTTCTGATTCAAGAAATACGTCCAAGTTTTGCGTGAGAAATCATCAATAAAACTCAAAATATACCTCTTGTTGCCATTTGATGTTGGATTAATGGGACCACATATATCTGAATGGATCAGTTGCAGCTTCTGTGTTGATTTCCACGCGCTCCTTTTTGGGAAGCTCTCCCGATGTTGCTTTCCTACCAAACAACTTGAGCATAGCTTT